ATAGGACAAAAAGTGACTTCTATACTTTTAAAATTTATGCAAAACTTAGGAGGTCTTTAGACCAAGCCAACTATAGTGATGTTAGCCGGCTAATAATCTGCATGCATAATTTCTAAATTTGGTAATGGATTTTTGCGTTACTTTCTTGTTATAGAAAAAAAATTACCAATTTAGGTAGTAAACGGCTAACATCACTAATTTTTAGTATTAATAATTATATTCTGTAAAACAAAGAATTTCCTTAATTAATTTTTAAAGTGACGATTGATAACCTTTTAATATATATACATACAATAATATTTTCGAACACTTCTATGATTTTCTCATCATTCTCTTCCTTAACTGGAAGCTGTATTCTTTCTACTTCTTTTACTCTATATAAACCATAACATGGCTTATCAAGTACATATAACCGAAGGAAGAATCCTAAAATAAAATTCAAATTTTTGTTAGTAAATTATAACATTTAATATGTGATAATTAAAATTTGTTGCAAAAAATTATCAATCTTAATACTAAATCCCACACATACATACTACATATTTCACCTTTCTATATTAATATTAATATAGCAGTAGTCTTACCTTAACTAGGATTCCATATAATTCAAAATTGGAAAAAGAGCCAAGGTTTATATTACCATTTTTTAAAAATTGAACCACAACACAGTCAAATATATCTTTAGGGTTTGTATTCACGGATACCATGAATACCATTAAGGGGGTTACACACTAATAAATCAGCAAAAAATCCCTTAAAAACACTTGATTTCAATAGTGTGTAACCCTGTGTGACCTCCTTACAGTATCTGTGAATACAAACCCTATATATCTTTCATCATATGCATCAGTTTTTTTTATCTTTACTAGTTTTGTCAATGCACTCATCCCATGGGTTTCCAGCAACTTCACCTATGAGATATTCATAACATATTTTTCTTGATTGGGTAGATGCTATCTTCGATTTGAATGATAAATCAGGCTTCTTTCCAATTTTCACCCATTGCTGATAATATACAAAGACAGTTGATTAATAAACATAAATAAAAATTTTTTGGAAAAAACAATCATACTTGTTTTCTTTATCTTTGTCAGATTCGTCAGATGATGATGAATTAGGATTATTATGTCGATATTTTGATGAAGCACTTTCTTTCTCTGGTCTATAAAAATATTAATAAGCAATTTATTGACAAGATCAAAATAATGTATAGGATACTTACCCAAGAAGTCTGACATCTTTGAGAACTCTTGATGCAATCTTAAGAGGCATTAGTAAACCTTCATTTTCCCATGTTCCTTTGCTAATTGATTTGTCATGTACCATATAATCATCAAGTCATCAAATAGCATCACTAAATTTAAAAGGAATGATCAAAGATTATTGAATTGATGAATTTAGAACAAAAATAATATAAATACAATAGTAGTTGCAATTTTTGATGATGGTTGTAACCATAGTTGCAATATATAAAAATGGCTTGTAACACCTGGTTACAACCACTTTTGCAATCATTTTGTTTCTTTTTTTGGATTGTGACATAGAACATTAAGTAGTAGTACTGCAAGCATGCAATCCAAGTTTCCTAATTAATAGGTTACTTATAGCTCAACACACAGCCTACTCGCTGACTTACAGTTGATTCTATTGTTTGACACATGCCTGCTCACTGACTTACAGTCAAAGTTTAATAAAAATAACTTTTATCTTTTCAGATAAAAGGGTCCCTAGGTTCTATTTAAGTAATTATATCCCAAAGGCGTTCCCCTGAGATGTGCCTTACTAGTAAAAATGTTGGTTACCTTTCAGGTATAGCAAAGGTTTCCCTTTGTAGTTTATCAATTGATCAGTGATTTTTAAGGTAAAATATGTTATGTGTTTTATTAGCGATAATGATATTATTATTACAATGTGTTAGGAAGTATTAATTATTAGATCAATAATTAAAAGATTGTTATGAACATGATGATTCTGACTTGGTCTAAAACCAAGTCTTTTTATACCTCTTGGGGTATTACAAATAACATGACTTTTACTCTATTTTGTCCAATAAACTATGCTTATTAATGTAAAATAAATATTTGAGTCAACTGAACATTACAAATAATAATTAAGGGTAGGCTCCATGCAATAAAGTTACACATATGTTAATTAGTGCCGATCGCGGGATTTTAAATTTTTTAAGAATTCAAAAAACTTGTGACTAGTACAAGCCTTTAACCAATCAAACAAAATTTGCGAAAAAAACTTCCTTGGTTTTATTAAATATGATATTTATATTATGAAAACATTTTTTGTACTTTTTATACTCTCTTAAAAAAGGTTTATGTTAAGTAAAAAAAAATTTTTGGTTGCTCATCTTTTTTGCATTCTGCTCATTCTGCCACTACTATTTATCTACATAATTTTATTGCACCAAAATTTGCAAAAAAAATTTTCAAGTATTTGTGAACAAAATATTCTTAATTTGGGAAATAAAATCAATCAGATTTTTTTATCCCATGTTCCTTAAACCTTGTTTCTATAAATGGAAATTGTTTAGTTGACAAATATAAATATGAATAATTGTATGTGTGATACTGCGCAATGTATGGCGCAGTAGTTTCACAAAATATAATATCAAAAATAAAAATAGATGTCGTTATCACGTGACGTACACAGTAATTTGGTTTGGTTGGATCGGCAACGTGGGACCTCTCTATCGGTCCTTATTTTACTACCTCACAGTACTTACTAATGATCTTTTATATGTCCTTTAATATCATCATTAAAAATATTTAATGAATGTCTCTTTGCTTCGGTATACAAACAACTTGGGTCTGCAAATTTCGTCTGTGAATGATTTTTTAAGCCAATGTGGTGGATCACTAACATCAATAATTGATGACAGGAGAGGTTCATCATACTCTAATAACCCAATATCCTGTGAATTTTCAATAGCGTATTTGATTCCTTTCTGAATATTGTACCCCTCTATAATCCATGGGTATAAATTCATATCAACCTTCTAATATTTCATATTTCATTTTTAGCTGAAATTATTTCACTTAGTAAATGATTATCACTGAATCTAAAATGCTGAAATATTTTTTCATAGTTGCTGAAATTAACTTTATTAATTGCCGAAATTATACTCAAAATTATTTGAACACTTTAACTCAACAACCAAAATTCTGGGTAGTTTTTTTATGTCCATCATTATGAAAATTTGAAATTTGCCTGCCAAAATTGATTTTTTCAAAACCCGTTTCAGCTAACATCTTTATTGTAGATCAATAAATGAATAAATTCTTTAATATAAAGTCAATATTTTTATACTATTCTTATTAAATAGGCAGGGTTCATTTTTCGATGCAGCAGATTGTAGTTGGTTACTGGAATCATTGTGATCTGTTTGAATAGTTGATTTTTGTTGTACAAAATTCTAAAAATTAGGGAGAACAGTGTTGTTATATTTGATTTTCAATGATTATGAACCATCATTTAAATGTATTTCTTTGATAATCAGATAAAGTTTTTAGGGGATTGAGTACACAAATACCATTGAAAAGTGGAAATGAACCCTGTAACTAAGTAATCAAATACTGTCACAAGCAATACATTCAAATATCATCACAAATTAAGGACTAAATATGCAAATGTCATCACAAATGGGAACAAATCCTCAACTAAGTACATGAATACCATCACAGACAATAAACTGGTAACCACAAGATGTTGCGAGCGTGTAAATACAATTACAGCTCGGGTTGTGTCCAAAAAATATATATGTAATAAAATAAATAAAAGTCCAATATATTAATCTCCCTATCTCCGCACACAGCTAAGGGTTCTCAAATCTAGGCCTC